GATCAAGTCCCTCCAATGGGACTCACTAGTACTTACATTCGAACTTTTCCCTCGGTGGTACACAACCCTTATATGCTGATGACCAAGACTTTCATCTGATGCAAAATTCTTTGCATGCATGGAAGTCCCACCTCTACGGTATCATAGCTTTCACTCCTTGAATTTGTGACCCTTCTTGCCATAATGTTGTTCAGCAAAATAGAGCTATCAGTAGTTCCCGATCATATCTCTATATGATATAGTCCTTTTCGGGACTATATTCGTGTGTATCGTATTGCCACGAACTATTCCACCACGATCTGTTGCACCAAGTCACCTCATAGTGACATCTTCATTGCATTTCGATCCTTGTGGGATGAACTCGGTTTGTGATCCCTCCATGTGTGGCCTCTGCCAACACATCATAAGGCCTCTTCCACCTTTAATTGTGTTTACTCTATTAGCAATTGACCTTTGTACCCCCCCCCCTCCCCCCCTTCTCCTCTCGGGTCATACCTGAACAAAGTATTGCTCTAGGATAGTCCGTCGCCTAATAGCTCTGGAAGTCCACCGACTTCGTTAAAATTAGTGCACCATTGTCTGGATCCTAGGCCTCTGCCCCTACCAGCACAATATCTACTGTGCATCACTTCCTTTATTGCAACTTGAATCGCAGCACTATAGCATATTCTTCAAGAGTACTTATCTCCGCGTCCTCTTGCCTTGTGCGAAGGCATTCTGAACCCAACTTTGCCTTTGTAAGTTGAGTCTCCCTAGTTCCTCTATCAAATGCTTCTTCAAGATAAGGTGCATGTGCCCAGAAGCTCCCTTCATCTTTGGCACCATACAAGATAAGTTCGATCTATCAGAATGACGGGCCCATAGAACGACATGATCTCGCTCTGGCCTCTACAAGAGTTCATGTCCTTGACCTCTGTCCAAGGGAAGCTCTATGCCTCCGCTCCATATTCTCTTTTCTATGCTGGCTCCCTTTATACGACTTAGGCACTTCGCCAAGTTACACCCAAGTTGCTCTGCTTCTTGTTTTGCATTGAGTTGATGGTGGCCCTCGCACCCACCATTCCACAAGTCAGCCCACCATTGAGTCCGATCTCCATATCGACTCAAAGTGTGCCTTCATTTGTATTGCTTTGGATCGCTCCCCTACTTGATCTCGCAATATATCTATCAATGCATTCTCTCAAGCAAGATCATGCAACGACTCCTTACCGCTCGCTCAGTCCGTTGAGCATCATAGAGTTATTATTATTTTTTAAGTACCCCTCAACATGTACGATCTGTTATATATGATTCTCCCTTTGGAGTACCAGGACCTATCCCTCCTGGATATCTATTCCATTGGAGCAATATCTCTCTTCGCTTCCTTCTCTTTGAAAGTTTCGGAGATCACAATCTCCTTGGACTACTCCGACTTGCTGAACAAAATGTGTATTGTTCTACCTCCTACAAATGCACTTGCTAGATTGCGACTCCACATCAATACAACCCCCACTGCACCACTCAAGGCCTAGCAACATGCTGAACTCAATGCACACTTTAGCCTTCTACGGACGTATCCTTCTCATGCTGAAGAGAAAGTTTCAATGCTCCATGACATTAAGTTTCGGTCGCCACGAACATTCCATCATCCACATACAAACCCTTGCATGAGTACCGAATTCTTTGAGTTAGCAATTTTCCTCACTTTTGTGAGTTTTGCATAACTCTTTCAATCGCTGAGCAACTCATTCCATCTTACCTGGTCTCATCCTTTACCAAGCGCCTTATTTGTCTTGAGCACCATCAAGTATGGTTGTCAACGTCGAGTCATAGCTCGAACTTAGTCATCCCAATCTTTGTGCGCTATGTATTCTTCCCAACTTGCTTGCCCTTGTGGTGCCTCTTGCGCGAAGGGTTGATCATTCCTCTGAATGTCAATCTCAGATGCCCGCTCCTCTGAGCGACTCCTTTTCCCTACATCTTCATACATGTTTTCCTCGAAACGGTCGCGCGTGCTAGCTGCCCTCAACGCTACCCCGCTAAGTCCCCCACGTTTGTATGCTAAGTGTTTCTATGAATGCTTGTCCCGTTCTAAGACCATATGTCACAGACTTAGCTGATTTTGTCTAAGTTGTGCGACACCCTTACATGTCCGTCTACAAAGGTCAACCTCCCCGAAAACTCCCATAGTCCCTTAGGACCTACAAAAGAGAAAACGGGTTAGAGAAAGTGCCTCACTCAGGATCCATGAGCAAACATTTCAGAAAATACTTCATAGTTAATGTAAATTACAAACAAACTTTACAAGCTTTGAACGGTTACACAACAAAAGGTTAAAATGGTTCACTACAGACTGAATATCTATCACAAGTGTCTACATAATATAACCTTTATTTACAATCTTAGATCGGCCACTAAACCCAACTAAAATGAAACAGTTAAACCTTCGATCGTCCCTCTATATGTTGTGCAAAGCATGAACAAATCAAAAGACACAGTCATACATAAGTATTATATCAAACATCCTGTTTAGAATTTTATCTATCACTATCCGACAAAACCCGTTCGATATTTAAGTTAATAAATCGGTTCAAATGATTTAATTCAATACGAAATCTAAAAAGAGTTTGATTAGATCATATTCCCTTACATCAGCTCAGAAGCTAAAGAATGCTAAATGACTGATGATTGCAAGAATCCGAGGTATGCCCGTGAGAATTAGGATTGAAGATAGTGATGATGAGTTATCCAATCTTTTTATTGTGCATTCAATCTTGATATTTCAGTCATTAATAATTCTAAATTCAAATATTCTTCTTTAATTCGATATCAAGTGTCGGTCATGATATGTATTGGTCATAGTACATCTTTTAGACAATGTTGCACGCAACCAATGCGTAGACATGCAGTTGCACCTAAACATCTATTTAAGTGGTAAATTGACTTCCTCCAAATCGTGCTAACCACTCCTCATGTAGAAGAAAAGCATCAAAAGAGGAGTGTTTCAAAGCAATCGAGCTACTTAGTTGAATGAGTCTTCTTTGACATATCTGCATCAACTCTCTACAACAATATGCTGATGAAGTGAGGATGGCATGTACATATAGCTGACATTTTTGTTTCAGAAAAAAAGCTTTCTTTATTAGAAGAAGAACACAGAATCGTATACAAAATGTATTCAAAGATCTATAACCCATGTAAGAACAAAAGAGAATGAATCCAATCCTTCTTCTTCCTCCTCTATGTGAAGTCTTCCTCCAATACACATTTATCTCGAGCTTGCTGTGTGCTTTCAACTGTACTGGCATGAGTTCTTGAGAGACACAGGCGTGTCCAACCTGGTCTGGTCCATCACAATAGCACACCGGACATGGCTGTAGAACTTGGGCTTCACCAGTTTTCCCAGCACGTGTGCCCTTGACCTGACGGTGACGCTGAGGGTCAGGTTCACTGGTTGACCATTTGGCCGGCCGCTGAGACCCGACCCGCCGCCGTAGAGTGGGAGCTTGCTGCTCATCACCGCCACATGGAGGTTCCTCTGACTCTTCCGGGATTGGTAGAAGTAATCTATCTGCAAAACGAGCAACTCCGAGTCAACCACGACATCCACAGATCAAGTCGCAGAGATGATGATGCGTGCTCACGCTGCCGCTGGCGATCGCGAGCTGGTAGTAGTTGAGCAGCACCGGCGTCGAGGTCACGTGCACGCCGAAGAAGCTCCCGGTGTTGCGGTAGGTGAGCTTCACCGTCGAGTTCAGAGTCAGCAGATCGGTGGGCACGAGGGAGGAATCGGTGCCGGCTTGGACGTAGAAATCCTCGAACGTGATGCTCTGTGACAACGCGGAGTCGCTCCGTTATTAACCTATGGTTGTGTTCGACGAAATGCTTGGAAGCATAGAACGGGGCGAAGAGGCGAGGAGATTACGTTCATGGTGACCTGCGGGCTCTGATGGCGACTGGCGCCCCACAGGACCAGCGCGAAGAGGAAGAAGAGGACGAGGAACACCGCGACGAACGCGAGGACGTAGAATCTACGGGGAAGGCGCTTCTCTTCTTGCTCGCCGTCGCGGAGCAGGCTTTCCTCCTCGATCGCCGCGGTGTCCCGCCATGGCATGTCGTCCCGGTGGCGATCAGCGCCCGTCACGCCGTAGTTGAGGGAGACCTTCCTGGTGCCGGGAGTCGACGAGAGGCGGGCGGTGAAGGAATCCCGGGAATGGTGGTTGTGGGTCGGGGGGCGCGCCGGTGTGGAGTGGTACGATGTGGCCGTCGCCCTGTCGCCGTATTCCAGTGGGCTCTGGACGTAGTAGGCGGGCCGGGGAGGGGAGGGAGGAGGGGACGACAGCGAGATGCTCGACGTCTCAGACTCCGTCTTGGCATGCTTCCCGTGAGTGTACATGGCGATCGAGATGCCAACTTCGGTCTCTTCTTCTTCCTGCTTCTGCTCTCTTCTCTGTAAGGAAAACCACAACTACGTCAAGCCTTCTTCCCTTCTTCGCTGCTCCAATCTAGTGGAGACAAAGAAATGGGGACGTGTTATGCACGTCAGTGCTATCAATAGTTGACGGTTTCAAATCGATGATGACCTGCTGCTCCTCCTTCAGTAATTGCAATTCTTATTAGCATTAAATTGATCTTTCTGATGTGATGGCTTTTCTTTTCTTTCTGCATTAGTAGTCAACAGGGAGAAATGCGTTGACTACTTCCCGGTTCTCATCCACTAAATGAGATGTCTCTTCATTGGGCTGCTTTCTTCCTTCTCTGTTGGTATATTGTTCATGAAGTAATGTGTTCGCATATATGTATTTTTTTCCTTTTGGTATTTTACTATTAGTTTGCACGTTCTATGCACATTACGACATGCCCTTCATTTTGTCTTTCAATAATCATATTCATAAATTAATTGCCATGTAAAAGTCAAGCCAAATTGTCATCATTACCAAAACTGGGAAAGAGAGTAGTAAGTTGGAGGCATAAACTTGTCCAGATACAACAGAACTGCCAGCCCACCCAAAAAATGAGAGTTCCCATGATAAATATCTATTAAGAACAAATCAAACTAATGAGGCTCAAGACAAATGGTTCTACAGAAATCAAAAAGTTACAACCAACTTTAAGCTGCTAACCAAGAAAAGCAGTAAACTCAAAGCATGAGATTGAACAATGCAGTCGGTTATTTGACCTAAACAGCACTTGAAGTTGATACAAGTGTTTGGTGATCCCTCACGAGCTCCCACAATCCACCATTTAGTGCAATACTAGATGAAGCAGGGATAGTGCCAAAACCTTTACATTCATGAAGAACCAGGAAAAACCAATCAAGTTCCCACAAAAAAGGTTTCCAACCGGATAGCAATTTTCTTGGTTCATGATTTTGCCAGCTTGCTTTGCAGACGGGTTTCGCTAAACCAACATCTGAATGTCAGCATGATTTCTTTCCTCTCGAGCGTTCTCTATGGCCGCAGCTTTATCTGAAATCAGGTTTCTCTGCCAGCTTGTTCGATACCCATGGCATCTTTCTCCCTGAATCTTGACTTAAACAAACAAAACTCTCTGTGGAATCATCCTATTATATATCCATCAAACTTTTCTACAGGTGGTGTGCGCAAAGGTTAGTAGAAAAAAGGAAGCTTACTCTGTATAATTAGTCAAAGGAACAGCAACTACTTCTGCTTTAAGAGATGACAGCCTACACGCTTTGTCCAGAAGACTAGCATGTGAATTTGTCATCTCAAATGAGAGAAATGGACTTCTAATTTTGAATTTTGAAGCCCTTAGACAATGTCAAATGTAGCTGGAAGAGCCCAAGAGAAGATCAAACATATCACTTGGTGTCAGCAAAGTTGTACCACCAACAATCAGCTCTATGTCGGGCCTACCATATTCTGCAACTGCTTCCATAGCTTCCCGAATCTTGGATAAGTAAAAAATTCAGTATGTTAGTTAATTAGCGCTGTCTGGTAACGTACTTCAAAAAGAACCATAACTGACATTAGTTGTAAGTCGACTATTGAGATGAATATTGACGTTAAGTAAAAGGTTCATATCATCTGCAATTGCTACATCACATCTCTTGACATTAGCGCTATCGATGCCCAAGATAATTACAAAAAGACTAATGTGAAACACACATCTTCAGATTACAATTTGAAAAACTAATTTGAATATTCAAACAAGATCAACTTCTATGTAAGATGAAAAATTGACGCAATGCTTTCTCCAGTGTCCATATAAACAAAATAGGAACGATCCATTCATTAAAAAGCACCTCAACAATTTTATGCAATCTGCAAGAACAGTGAGGGTATGGAATACCTACCATGCTTGAGAAACAAATGAGGATCCGACTTCAAGAAAAATCTTATTTACTGGACAGTAAAACATTTTTTCAGGAAAAAAATGGTCACATGAAGTAAAGAAAAGAAATTTACCTCAAGATTATTAATGCCCCCCACAACAAAAACAAGAAGAACACTTTGATCTCCAAAACTTGGTTTAGCCTGAAAAAAATTAATTCTAAATGTTAATGCAGCTAAGATTATTGGCAAAACTTCAATAAGTGTAAATAAAAGACCCACCTGTCCAAGGCCAAATCTACCAAACCCACTCTTCAAAAACCGCCCTACTGCAGATGAATGGTACTCAAGTCCAGGAACATCATACTTCGCCAACAAAGTTGTTAGAAGCTTATAAAGCAAACCCTTCCGTGTGTCCGCATCACTGCCATATTTACTTGATGCAACCAACCCTTCTCGGAGAGTTAAGTTTCTCCTCTTCAAACTAGATAACTTATTAAAGAATTTGAATAGTTGATCGACCCTATCTCGCAACTCTAGTTTAAGCTGCATGTCACCATATGCTTGTTCATTTTGATCATCTGCTTCTTCATCATCCCAGCTACCCCACTGATCATCAAAGGCATCAACTTTTGGTGGCTTGGCTGAATCTTCCTGCTCATTCAACTTGGCTTCAAGTTCATTACATAGACCATGGAGGAACTGAAGCTTTGCAGATGATGGATTTTCCGTAACTGCATCCACTATAGCTTCTTTAAGGGAATGCTCCTCTTCCCAAGAAAAAGGTCCACTAGATGCAGATGTCGGAAAGCTTTCCCCAGCTAGAATATACCCGATCATTGACAGAAGCAGTGCATCTTGAAAAGAGAGAAGATTCTGAGATGGTCGGACCCTTCTATCTTGTTCATTAGATCTTACTGAAGTACTCGTATTGATAAAATCACGAATTTGACTTGAAAGGCTTTGACTAGTGTCTAGAGAAGTTATAGACAATATCTTCTCAGCATTAACAAAGGCATCCCAGTGGGAGTTATGAGGCTCACTAAGGGCAAGTACAGCAGCTAACACTAATTGAATGATGCCCTTGTTTTGAATTAAAGACATCTGATTTTGAGCCAGTCTTTTAAGCATAGCATGAATCTCTGAAGCAGATAAAAGACCTGGCCGACCTTTTAGATTAACATTTATGTTCTCATGCTGCAGAGTTTCCAAGAGCCATTTCTTTATTAGAATTGCCCCATCTTTTGCCCTTCTATCAAGCAAGGTTTCAAGATAGTTTGCTCCTGCACAATTAGATTGAAATGATCCACTCAGCAAACTATATCCATTATCTAACGCACTAGTGATAATTTTGTCGGCATGATCAGAAGATTCGTTGACAATTGCACCAGCGTTCCAGCCTGATATAAAAGCTCCAATTCCTTCAGATAGCTGAGTGCTGTTCGTTGCATGTTCATCTGTACTGAAAATAGTTCCAAATGGAATCCGTATATCAAGTGGTGCACGTTGAACTTTAATGTGGGTACCTAGTTTTGGTGCTGGGGAGCTTTTAGCTGGTAAAGAAGATGAGATCCTCTCTCTACGAGGCAAAGAGCAAAACAGTCGATCGAGAAATGAGTCACCATGGCAGCAGGGTGTAAGAAGATCAAGGGTGCGATCAATAAGTAACAAACCAGCTGATCTTTTATTACGCCGACCTACATCATACAGACTTGACATGTCCATCAACATCTTGCCAATGAGTCTTGATGTATCTCCTAGAGAAAATATTTCCATCTTCAAATCCATCTGAACATTTTCAAAAACCATAGATGGAGCAAGTAATATGGTAGAAGACAACTATCAATCATAATTTAACTAGATAAATGAAAAAAATAAAGAGTCATAATTAACATAATAATTAAGAATAATGGCAATAAAACCTACCTTTGCTGCAAGATGGTAAAGGAAATTAGCAGTAAGTGTTGCACCAGGAGGAACATCTTCACCATCAGAAGGTAATCCAGTAGAAATAGAGGGCAATCCAGGACTAACAGAATCATCAGAGTCATTTGACAAGCATGCTTCTGCAACTGTTCCTTCTGAAGGCAAAACAAAGACTCGAGGGGAAAGAGGACACAAGATCATTGGGAAGTGATGAACAGAAACGAGCAACTTTTTGGACTCTTGTTTTCCTGTAACATTGACCAAATCATCAGCATATATGTCTCCTTTGGAGCTAGCTTCAACAGATTGATAACTTGCACCAGAAGCAAGATCTGCCCAACCATCATTTTCAGAAGCCTCTGCTTCTCTCTCTTGATGAAAGTGAAGTCCCCTTTTTCCAGATTTTTTCAAGAGCTCTTCATAGTCTTGAATAAGCAATGACTCATATTCATTAAAGGCATCAGGCCCAAGAGGTGAATCGATGTATGCTGAATGAGCAATCTGAAAGTAACGAGCAGAAATAAGGATTGACAGTATAACAAAAATAAATAAATAAATAAAAACCAAGAGAGCCTAGTCCATGTGACACTAGGAAAGAGTTGAAAAACGACTAGTTAATACAGGATCAAATTATAATCAGGTAGAAAGCATAACACAAACAATGAAGGAGACCAAAGGAATGCATAAGGCAGTTTCTTGATGTAGTGGCTTATATTATTCAAATCATGCTCGCAATTCACTGAAGAAATATAATGAACAGCTTCCAGATGAAGATCATGCAACAATGTCACTATAAGCAAAAGGTATTTGCTCTTATATAGTAGAAGAAAGAATGTTTATTATTCTTAATGTAACCTTATTAATCACCTATGGAAACTTAATTTACCAAGTCAGTTTAGGACTGAAGACTGCACCTCTGAGATAGAAGTAAAAATAATACATCGAAGAACAGTTCTGTTGGTACCCAAGCAACGTAATATGTACCGATGTGCATCACTAAGGAGACGTGAGGTAATAATTACAACCTTCCTTGTAGGACCCACAAACATTGAGTTCCAACTCGTAGTCTGCAATATAGATAAAAGAAGAAGAAATTAAAAGGTATATATTTGATAGAATACAACAAAGAATATTTGTAGTCTGCAATCGTGATCAAGTGCACCAAAATGCAATATAAGAACATCAATTCCAAAAGGAGTAACTAACTTAAGTGACAGATTCAGACAAACTTTTTGATGGAACACAAACCATGTGACGATGTGCACTTTTTACAATATTAGCATACAATCATACATCATTATTCACATGGAGAAACTAAGAACATTAAACTGCAAACTGAATAGTAATGGCTATTTAGCATTACCATATCAAGTGGAGATGCATTTTCTAAGCTGCAAACAGCATGCACTCCAAGTTCCAATAAAACTGGGAATGCTCCAATGAAATGGAAAGCCTCTAGACAACCCGCATCAAGATAAAGAATGGAGTCTGCAAGTTGATCTGAAATCTGAAAGTATGAAAACAAAAAAAAGGATCATTTCCATAAATTGAAAGTATGTAGCTAGCAAATAGAAAGAATTTTGTCTCATACATTCCTGTAGTGAAATATGTTAGTTTTCTGTCATAAAATTCAATAGTCCTCTACTGTGAATTTGTCTCAAACAATGCCTAACTTAGGTACTCTGAAATGGGAGACCAAAAATAGAAAAAAAAAAAAAGACACAACGATACTTTTTTCTCGAGCCATTTAGTTAGGTTGTTCTGGTAACTGTGAAATAAACATGTACCAAACACATGACACTATGTAAGCCAGGGCAGCCAAGGCTTTTTTTTTTTAATTTATAAATTTTACAAGTATCATTGTAGCAATGATATTCCCTATGGCATATACAAACCAAAAAACATTACCCAGAAGCTTTTAATTTTTTAGTACTTCACAATTTTTTTATATAACAATATTTGAAATATTATTACTTTCAATATTATTACTTATCATTATTTCTTGTCGCAAACCCCAAAGACACTGAAACTGTCGTTGTAGTTCATTCTAACACCACAGTTCAAAGTTCAAACCATGTTAGGAAAAAAAAAAGTAAGCAATGAATTAATTGAAAGAAAACACAATAACATCTTCTCCAACATGATATGAGAATTGCATTTTCATTAATAAGCATTAAGTAGCTAATTATCTCAATGCTATGATGTTATTCTTGACTTAGATTGTTTTGGCAGGGCACTTATGTATGACAAAAACCATAATACTATTAAGTTTATATTGCATTTTGGGACAGAGATGTTTTCATGTACAAACTTTAAATATGGAAGTTATCATCTATTTGGGATTTCCCCAAAAACAATTGCCCCTCGTTATATACTAACCATTAAGGATATATTATCATGAAGAAACAAGAAAATTGAAAGGTGTTCTTATACACCTTTGCTAGAGAAATTATAACCGAGTATTGCACAATATCCTAATTTCTTTGTCATAAAAGACTTGATTTTATGTCTGAATGGTATTGATATAAAATTATCCTTTATAGCTCATCAAATCTCTGCAGTTACAAGCAACATCAACAGGCTAAAATTTTCCCAAAACTCATCCTAGCTAAGTGTCATCTCTGCAAGAGCCAATTGCCAAAAGAGAATCAATTAGTATCAATCTGTTCAACGAATATATCATTCACCGGCATGCAAAGTCTTTTGCCCCTAAATCGAGTAAGGCAACACTGGCAATAACACCAACTCAAGAGAAGTAAAAGAACAAAAGAGGTACACTGCCAGAACACGGTTAGCAAAAGAAGAACCTACTGGAATGCCCCCCAAGATAGTCTGCTCTCAGTCGACATACCTAAATCCATAAGAATTCAATAACCTAAGCAGAAATGTTCGCAAGCGCAGCACCGCGCCACATGCATTCTACAGTAACAAAACTGCAGATCGCATAATAATAATAATAATAATAATAATAATACGCAGGCATCACATAACAACAGTTCTCATCTATCACCTTCGTTATGAATCCGATCCAATTCTAGTCTTATCTTTGACATAACAAGGAAATACGAAGTTAATCCTAAATAGCAACTGAGGAGGAGCAGAAGAAGAAATTTACAAGGGAAGCGACCTTTTCATTACCTGGCGAATGGAGTCGATACAAGATCTGATCAGATCGGCGGAGGCCATAGTCTCCTCCTCCTCTTCCCCTCGCCACTCCTTCGATCTCTGGCGTGGGGAAATGGATCGGAGACGGAGAGGGTCTGCGATCCTTCACGAAACGCCACGGGATGAGAACCGGACCGGAGATCGAGTCGGACGAGTCTGGTCGGCAATTTAACCACTCGGTTCAATTAATTGAACCGGAGGTCTTTTTCTTCGTAAATTGAATTGAAGAGGTGGGCTGATTCCGATTGAATGGACAGTATTGCCCTCCATTCCTTCAGAAAGGGACATTTTGTCCCCCATCGGCCACGTGGGATGATTGGATCCAATACTTATGAACTAATATACAATTACATAAGCCATACTTTTCTCTTTGGTTTGCATGATGAAATATTGAATTAAATTTTATAATTAGATACGTGATCATTTTAAAGAGTTATTTCATTGGTTAAAGTGAAGTTGTTAGTTTCTTCTATAAGCATGAGGTAATGTAATGCTTCAAATTAAAAAAAAAAGAAAAATATATAAATGAAATGTCTCATAGTTGTGAGTTATTATATATAATAAGAATTTTTAATTATGAAGTGTTTCTAGACATATACCTATCTGGTTCTCTTATGAAATTTTTGCTTGTTATTGTTTTGATGTCCTCAACCAGAACTCAAACAAAACTTGATCTGATATTGAAGATGCAAAGTCATCCAAATGACTCTCATAATGATCAGGCGAGGGAGTTACTGTTAGAGATGTGTTAGTTGAGGTGGATCCGAGATGGACTTCGAGTATCCGAGATGGTTCCAAAGCTAGGCTGACGTAGGTTTAGATCTCCTCAGGGATCCTACACAAAAGTTGACATTGGGAGAGATTTCCTGACCTGACCTCCTGACCTCTTCGATGGTTAAGTTAATTATGCGGAATAATGGAAATGGGTGGATTCAAAGTGTGGGAGTCTGATCCCTGTTTAGGCATCGAGGATCGATTCCTATAATTGGGAGGTTTTGCTCAACGTTAGAATATAGTTTTAGTTTTATTAATTTTTATGAATGATAAACAATAAAGACAGAATTCGAGCACAGCAATTTACGATATTTCTTGAACGATTGATATGAGCTCAAATAATTACATCCATAAGTGATCAAGCAGCAGACGTAAAACGATTAAGTATGTAGATGAGTTCCATGCAATCAAATTTCACCACAGAATTGATTAGCAAAATAACATGATCTTTAACATGTTAATTAGTGGAAGAGGAATTGTGTATCTATCACGATTACCAAAGCAGAATATAGAACCTCTAAGAAAACATTATATTAGAAAAAGAGTTAATTAGTAGTGCTCTACAAAGTTAGCATCCTGATTGGATGGTGGATGGGGAGTGACCACAAGATTAGTGGAAGAGGAATCATCCTTAAAGACAGAGATAACTTTAGAGAGAAAGGATGGTTGTCGAATATATACTTTTCAAAGAAAATATAATGAAGTGTTAATAGTGAATACGAGTAAAGAAGAAAATACTTTATCCGTATTGTGTAAGAGTCCAATATGATTAAGCAAACTCATAATTAAATCTCATTATCTCTTACACCATTTTTTTTTGTATAAATGACAAAAAATCTCATGAACTAAAATCAAATTGACCATATGCATCTGAATTGTTTAAAATTAAATTAATTTTAAATTAATTTAATTAAAATTCTCTCATTAGATAATTTGAGTTACATTACAACCGAGTGTAACCCTAGTATAACTGTAACAAAGGATAGACGATGATATCTTGTTGGCTTTCCTTCCTTAACACTCATGTCTCCTCTCGATGTCTCCTCGATGCTAATGTTTTGAAACATCTAATGTTCAAAAATAAATATAAATATAATATAGATTATAGTCTTTTATCTTATGATTTGTCTTAATTTTTTTAAGAGTCGAGATCGTCTTAACATGGGTTGATGATTCTTACAAATTAATGGCACTCTACTAGCTATAGTATTAATTACAATAATTAGTATTTAATTTTATCATTCAATTATAAATGGTAAGCATAAGTATAACGTTGGTTTTGGAGAAACATCGTCACCGAGGAGACATCAGAGGAAAGAAAGCAAATGAGATGTCGTCACCCACCATTCGCTATAATTACACTAGAGTTAGGGTTAGACTCGATTGCAGTGTAATCCAAAGTAGTTCAAATACAACAGGTTGAATTTGGTTTGGTTTATACTTTTTTAGTGTTTATAAAAAAAAATTAATTCCCCCAAGTAAAAATGAAAGGAGATTACTATTTGTAACCTATTTTTATTATATACAATCCTATTTTAAATATTTTAATCAATTGTAAACTATTCTTTTATAAATGAACATAAATATCCTCCTCTTCCTCCTTCATATCGTTTCCAACTACACCTATAGCGAGCGATGAGGGCTCATCGTGCGAGCGTCAACAGTGCCCACAACAAGTGAAGAGGCATCAAAGAGGGTTGAGTGACATCCACAACAAGTGGGGTTAGCATCAATTATGTTGATAGGGAATGGTGTCGATAGCGATGGAAAAAAAAAATCGATAATACTAGGGTTGTAAATAATAAAATAATATTATATTATTATTAAATAAAAATTTTAATTTATAGTTTTTTTATTATTTATTATCATAATTTATTTTTTTTTTATTACTATTGAACTATCCTTTAGTAAGTGGACATAAATACTTTATTCTTCTTGTTCTTTAAAGTATCGAGAGGTCGATGAGTAGGATCGAATGACATCAATGACGAGTGGGTTCGAACGACATTGAGTGATGTCAAGTGTTGACAGTGAACAATGTCGAAGGGGGTGATGAGCGACGTCCGCAACGAATAGGGTTGACGATAATGTCGTCAACAAGCGACGACATTGATAGCGAGGATGAAATACAAGGTTATAAAGAAGAAAAAAAGAAAGTGATAAAATCATTTATACCATAATTATAAATAATAAATAATATTTTTAAGGGATTGTCTATAGCAATGGATTATCAATAGTGGAAAATAAGATTACGACTATTAAAATTCAAACGAATAAGGGGGTCATCCATAAAAAAAACACATCAAGGGTTTTTTTTTTTTTTTTGGATAAAATGCCCCATTATATTTAAGATGAAATAGTACAAAAGGAAAATAAACACTAACTTAAAACAATCGCATGAATAAATTGCGTGAATATATATAAATATATATATAATGAATGATACGATCTATCTATGTAGCTATTAACGTCTATGAACAATTAACAGAGTGGATGAATTGTATATTCCTTGTTCGGTGTCATGGGTACAGTGAAACGAGATAAGGAACATGGATAGAAACGTCTTTTCCTGGTGTCTCAGAGCTGGGCCAGAGCAGCGACTACCTCGATCATGGCGGGCCTGTCGCGGGGTCCATCCTCGGTGCAGCGGTAGGCCACGTCCAGGAAACCCCGCACCTGGCTCTCCATCGTCTCTGCCTCCCCCATCTCGCGGTCCAGGACCTCCGGGCCCCGCCCCTGCTCCACCATCCCCCGGGCCCACCGCGCCAGCCCGACCTCCCCCCCGGCGCCGCCCTCCGGTCGCACCGTCAGGTTAGGCCGCTGCCCCGTCGCCACCTCCAGCATCAGTATTCCGAAGCTGTAGACGTCCGCCATGGGCGTGACCGCTGTTGCCCCCTCCCGGTTCTCCGGCGCCATGTACCCCATCGTCCCCGCCGCCTGCGTCGAGACGTGGGTCCGGGGCGCCTCCACCACCCGCGCCAGCCCGAAGTCGGTGATCCGCGCCTCGAAGCCCTCGTCGAGCAGCACGTTGCTGGCCTTGATGTCGCGGTGGATCACCGCCGGCCGGCAGCCGTCGTGCAGGAACGCCAACCCCGCCGCCACACCTCGCATGATCCTCACCCGAGCCGGCCATGGCAGCCGCCGCGGGCGCCCCTCGGCGTCCGGCTCGTGCAGCCACTGGTCCAGGCTGCCGTTCTCCAGGTACTCGTAGATGAGCACGTGGTCGCGGCCGGCGACGCAGAACCCCAGCATGCGCGCCAGGTTCGGGTGCCGGATCCGCCCCAGGGTGTCCATCTCCGCTCGGAACTCCCGCACGCCGTGAACGGCGTCGGCGGACAACCGCTTCACCGCGACCGTGGCGCCCGACGACAGCTGGGCCTTGTAGACGAACCCGAAGCTGCCGTCCCCGATGATGCCGTCGGGCGCGAAGTTCCTCGTCGCGGCGATCAGCTCCGACATGGAGATCCGGTCCAGCGACGGGTCGTACGACGCGCTGCTCTCGTCCCCGGCGCCGGAGTGGGACGACGAGGAGCGCAGGCGGTCCAGCGAGCGGAAGTCGGGCGCCCCCTCGACGTCGGAGGCGATCTGGGAGCCGAAAGGTCGGGGCTTGGCCCGGCCGCGGCAGACGAGGAACAGGCTCCCGATGAGAAGGGCGACGAAGAGGAAGCTGGCGGCGGCGGCGATCAGCACCTGGAGACCGACCTCCATGGCCGCGGTCGATGGCAATCGGGAGGTCGAGGCTAGGGTTTGGTGGGTGTCGATTGCTTGAAAGATACGTAAGAGGAGGAAGAAAGTTTGACTGCGAGGAGGAAAGGCGACGAAACCGCCATCGGGAAGGCGACTCGCTTTCTATTGGTTAAGCTATTCGGTCTTCCATCGGAGTCAACTGCTGTGGTTTTTATCTGTTTCTGCGGTCTTCGCAAGCGCCTCAGAAGGCAGAAGCTTCAGGCAGATGCCGTGCAGGTGGGAGAAAGATCAGACTTGTCCATGGCATGGCTCTCTATCCAAGTTGGTCTAAGACGAAGAAAAGGCCGCACGCCATAACTCGATTTGTTGACCCGACTAGATTTTTATTATACCTGTCGTCGCATCTGAAATAGATCTTCCACGATCAAATCCAATCATAATCAGGCTCGATTCACATTTCACTTCTCATCCGAGCGGTGTGGATACTGTTTGCAACCACTGTCAGATATGATATCGTCAGCTGATCCTTTCAGGTTTTTACGTTGTTGGATGCAGTTGACTGCATGATCGACAGGCTCTGTGAACTCATTTGCTGGTTGTAAGAATAGGTTTTTCTTGCTGTAAGCAGGAGAGGAGAGGAGAGGAGAGATGTGTTATTTTCTGGACGTTGGGATGTTCATTG